GTGTGTGTGTGTACGTGTGTGTGCATGAGCGTGAGTGTGCGCATGTGTGCATGCATGTGTGTGCGTGTGTGTGTGCACACCCACCTGTATATCTATCTGTAAGCGCACTTAGATGTGTATATTGTGCGTATAATTTTAGGTACATATAAAACATTATAATTCCTTGAGGCTTTATCAAACGATCTTGATGCCATTTGTCCCTCCTGCTGCTGTCTAAAACTCCTCCCTCCCCTCCAGCGGGGGGCCCCTCCCCCATGGTTACCGCGTATCCTACTTCATATCCCGTGTTTCCTGCTGTTCCTGCCACCCCCACCTCTGTCATGGTCCCTTCATACTTTTCTGGGTTTTGGCGTAGCTGCAGCGTACGCACTCACATCTCAAGATTTGGAATTGAGGACTACAGATGTTAAGAGACCTTGTGGCGTTTGTCTCTCTAGGTCTGGTTTACCTCATTTGGTGTAATCTTTTTTTCTAGGTTCATCCGTTCACCTGCAAGTTTTCATGATTTCGTTTTCCTTCACAGCTGAGTATTGTTCCCTTGTGTCTTATGAACCGCATTTTCATGACCCATTCATCAGCTGAAGGACGTTTAGGATGTCTCCATTTCCCGGCTATTCTGAACGGGGCAGCAGTGAACATGGCGACTGTTAACTCAGCGTGTCTGGAGTACACGCCAAGGGGCGGTGTAGCCGGGCCATCTGGCGGGCTGGTTTTTAGTTTCTGGTGACTCTGCACCCTGACTTCCAGAGTGACTGTGCCGATCTGCACCCCCACCAGCGAGGCTCTCGTCCTCACTAGCTCTCGTCATCAGCTGATTGGTTCGTCTTAGCCATTCTGGCTGGGGGGAGGCGGAGTCTCAAAGGTTGTTTTAATTTCCATTTCCCCAGTTGCTAAAGGGTGACGAGCACTCTTTGAGGCGTTTCCTGCCTGTTTTTCCTCATCTGAGAACTCTGTTGGGATCCGTAGCCCGTCCTCGACTGGGTGGTACTGATCCTCTGTCTGGTGCAGAGCTGGCAGCTGCTGTCTCCCGTTTCATGTGTTCCTTCTGGGCTCACAGAAGTGAGGCTTTCTCGTCTACACTTGACCCCTCACCTGCAGCTCCTTGGCTTTCTGAAGCCCTCGTTGCCGATTGCCGGCAAGCGGAGCCCTGTCCGTCCGGAAAGTCCATTCCGAGGCCGGCATTGCACGGGGGCTGCGTGTGTTTCTGCTAGCAGTTTCCACGGCCCAGGTTCAAATTGAGGTCTTGTGATAGAGCTGGGTCTAATTTCCTTTTTCTGCGTTGAGCAGACATCGGATTTCCCTGCACGGTTGTTGAAGGTGCTGTCCTTCTCCAGCGGGTGCATCTTGTCTCTGTCAGGTACCAGATGGCTGTACTTGCAAGGACACATGTTGGGACTCCTGTTTTGTCCCATTGGTCTACATGTCTATTTTTGTGTCAGTACCATACTGTTTTAATTATGATAGCTCTGTCATATGTCTTGAAGTCTGGACTAGCAATCCCTCCAGTATTCTTTTTGATCAGGAGTGATTTGGCTCTCTGGGGCCCTCTGGCTCCGTATGAGTCTTAGAATTGTTTTTATGTTTCTTCAAAGAATGTTGTGGGCATTTTGATTGGGATTGCATTGAATCTGTAAAGTGATCTAGGTAGTATGGTCATTTTCACAATGTTAATTCTACCAACCCGAACACAAGATGCTTTTCTCAACCTCTTTTTTCAGAGATTTGAAGTTTTTGTTGCAAAGGTCTTTTGCCTTCCTGGTTAGGTTTGTTCCAAGACATTTTTGTTGTTTTGGATGCTTCTGTAAATGGGAGTATGTCCATGATCTCATTTTCAGTGTTTGGTTTTGAGGTATAGAAAAACTGCTGGTTGGGTCAGACAGTTGTGGTGCACACCTTTAATTCCAGCACTTGGGAGGCAGATGCAGGTGGATCTCTTGGAGTTTGAGGCGAGGTCAGCCTGGTCTACAGAGTGAGTTCTAGGATAGCCAGGACTACACAGTGAAACCCTGTCTGAGAGAGAGAGGGAGGGAGAGGGAGAGGAGAGAGAGAATAGACTTTTTTTTTAATAAGTTGAGAGAGGGAGAGAGAGAATAGACTTTTTTTTTTAATGAGTTGCTTTTGCAATTTGCCACTTTGCTGAAATTATTTCTGGAAGTTTTCTGGTAGAATTCTTGGGATCTCGTGTATAATATCACCTGCAAATAAGGATAATTTGACTTCTTTTACTGTTTGTATTCCTTTATTTTTTCTCTTGCCTTATACCTCCAGCTAGTGCTTCTAGCATTATATTGAAAAGGAGTAGGAATAGTGACCAGTGCTGCCTAATTCTTGACTTTATGATTGCTTCAAGTTCTCCTCGATTTAGGATGATGTTGGCTGTGCGTCTGTCATATTCATCCTTTAGTATTTTGAGGAATATTCCCTTGGTCCTATTCTCTTTGGAACTTTTATCATGAAAGTACCTTAGGTTTTGTCAAAGGCTTTTTCTACATCTATTAAGATGATCATGAGATTTTTTCTTTAAGTTCATTTATGATTTATTATTTTTATTGACTTACATATGTTGACCCAACTCTGCATTTCCCAGATACAGCCAGCTTGATTGTGGTGGATAACCTTGATAGGTGCTGGTATTCGTTTTGCTAGCACTTACTAAAAGATTTTTGCATTTATATTTCTTGTGTGTCGAGTATGTGTGCAATGTGTGTGAGAGAGAGGGGTGTGTATTTGTAATGTATATGTGTGAGATGTGTGTGTTGTGTGTGAGACGTGTGCATGTGTATGTGTGTGTATGTGATGTGTGTGTAAGGCTGTATGGTGTGTGTAAGACATGTGTGAGATGTGTGTGAGATGTGTCTATGTGATGTATGTGTGTGAGGTGTATGTGTGAGAGGTGTGTGTGAATGTGTATGTGATGTGTGTGTGATGTGTGTATGGTATGTGTGTAAGATGTGTCTGTATATAATGTGTGTATGTGTGTGAGGTGTGTGTGTGTCTGTATGTGATGTATGCATGTGTATATGTGATGTTTGTGTGTGAGGTATGTGCATGTGTGTGTGATGTGTGTGTGATGTGTGTGATGTGTGCATGCGTGTGTGTGTGGTGTTGTTTCACTGTTGTCATACCTGTTAAAGCTGCCTTGTGTTTATCTTCTCTCTCTCCCCATTTCTTGTTTGTGTTCGTATTGGTTTTGTTTTCAATAGTTGACTCGAAAAGGAAGGTTTTGTTTTGGTTTGGTTTTGGTTTTTTGGGTTTTTTTTTTTTTTTGAGACAGGGTTTCTCTGTATTGTTTTGGAGCCTGTCCTGGAACTCACTCTGTAGACCAGGCTGGCCTTGAACTCACAGAGATCCGCCTGCCTCTGCCTCCTGAGTGCTGGGATTAAAGGCGTGCACAACCAATGCCCGGCAAGAAGGAAGACTTTTATAACATAGTTGCTATCAGAATCAGAAAATATACGCAAGACCAATAGGGGCACTGTGTTACTGGGGGTGGCATGGCATGCCGTGAGAATGTTTGTTTCTACAGGTGAAAAGTAGTCCTTGTGTTTTCCTCATGGCCATGAAGTTATTTTTGTGCTGATGCTTTTTGCAAAATTGGAAAATATTGGCCAATCAAGTGTTTAAGGAAAACGGTTACAAGGATATGCCCAAACCATTCTGCTCTTATACATACATGCATGCACATGTGTGCGCGCACACACACTCACATGCACAGAGAGAGGGAGGGAGGGTGGATGGTGAATGAGCTCGGGCATGCATGCATGCGTACATGCCCTGTTAGGAGCCTGAGTTTGCAGTGCTGGAAGCAGATCCTGAGGTGAGGGCTGCTCCTCGCTCCAGGTGCAGATGGAGCCTGTGCTGGGCATCCTCTGACATGCTCCGTACCCAGCTGATTCTTCAGCTCCCTGAAACACCCAGACAGGCATGACTTGATGGGGGGCAACGAGGGAAGCTGCTAACTACCAGGAGGAGTCAGAGAAACCCTAGCAGGGCCGTGTGAGCAGAGTTGGCTAAGCAAGGAGCACAGAGGAAGCTCTGGGAAGATCACCCTCGCCCATGTGTCCATGCGTACCAGCCAGAGGAGCCTGCATGCAGCAAACAACTGTTGGGGGTGTGAGGGAGTTACGGAGAGAAGAGAAAGAGAAGGGAAGCCAGCAAGAGTGGGCTTTGTGTGGGGCCCAGCGCTACTTAAATTCCAGTTTGGGACACTGGGGTCCTGTGGAAGGGGGGCTTCACATGGCCCTGTGACTGATGAGACACCTGTCTTCTGTACGGACCTAGAACCTGGCAGGAAGAGCTCTTGTTCTGCAGTGAGACTGCTGCCAGGGATGTGACCATGGGATTAAAGGTGTGACTAACTCTTTGAGTATCAAAGGCGGAGCATCAAGTTGAGCTCTGGAGCCTGGTGCTGCCCTGTTAGGACCAACCTCATTTCCCTGGTGGGAGCCACAGAGAGCGCTGAGATTCTTCATGGAGAGACAAGAGAAACAGGGGAGCCCCACGAGGGGTGACGTGGTGTGAGGAGTCATTGAGAACCCCTCAAGGAAAAGAGTTTCAGACGAAAAGAGGAAGAAATTTGAGGAATAGAGAGCAGGGGTGGTAAGAGGAGTCCAGTGCCGTGGCTGGGTGACCCGCCAAAGTCTGGCATGACTTGGTGTTTGACCGTGAAGGGTTACAGTGCTGTCCATAGTCTCTTTCGTCAGATTCTAGGCCACCCGTGGGAATTGCACCCAGATAGCATCTGCTTTAGGTTACTCACAGTGCCTTACAGTAAATCAGCAGATGTCCAACCGCTTACCAGTGGTTTGGAGTGACGGTGCTCTGTCTTCAGGTGTCACACACACTCTTGACCGTTGTCCGCCTGTAATGGGCGTTTGAAGTGAAGACCGGCACGCGTATCTCACACCGAGACACGAGTGTTAGTGGCGTTGCCTCAAATGTCTTTCTGCCGGTGTCTGAAATTCATTCTCATAGTGGTTTTTCTTTGTTTGTTTGCATAGCTTGGCGCCCGTGTTTGCTCTCTTTGTACCATTTTACTGCTCCATCCCAAGAGTCCAAGTGGCACAAATCCTGGGCCCGTTGTCCATCACAAACAAGACACTGATTTATATATTGGGACTACAGGTACGGTATGCATTTTATGTTCACATCTCTCTAGCCAGAGCTGGGTGTCTTTTGTGCTTTGTTTTGTTTTGCTCTTTGCTCTTTTGTCTCTTTCTCCTTCAGCAGTGTTTCCATAAGTCTGGCTTCACGGTCTGCAGGGAGGAAGTGTTAGAGAGAGAGACAGACAGACAGACAGAGAGACAGAGACACAGAGAGAGAGATACAGAGAGAGAGATACAGAGAGAGAGAGAGAGTGAGTATAGGAGGTGCTAGAATGCTTTCATAGCCTTCAGAAATCTGATAAAAGCTTTCGCTATAATTCGTATCAGTGGAAAATATTTTCATTTAATCATGCATTTGTATGTAACTGCATCTGAGAATCATAGTTTGAAGTGGAAAATAATAAGAATAGTGGAAAATGGAAAACCAGTGTCATAGTCAGGGTGTCATGTACTGTGCCATATATAAAGCCATGAAAAGAAACCCAGCATGCTCTGCCCGCCTAGGCTGCGGAGTTCGCAGGAAGCACCGTCAAGCTGAGTCTGTAGTAGTCAGAGGAAGAAGCAGGAGGATTTTAGGTCCAAGGCCACAGTGGGCTACAGAGTGAGTTCTGGGCACCCTGGGCAGCCGAGTAAGACCCTCTCTCAAAATTTAAACAAAAAAAGGAAAAAGAAGGGGCTGAGAGATGGCTGGGTTGAGGGTGTGCACTGCCCTTGCAGAGAGAGGACCCAAGGTCAGTTCCCAGCACCCCACTTGAGGCAGCTGGTAACTGCCTATACCTCCAGCTCCAGGAGAGCTGACCTGTCTTCTGGCTTCCGCAGGTGCTGCCCTCACACACAGACGCACACATGCACACGTAACCAAACAGAACACAAGTCATGTCGAGTGTAAAGAGACATAAGACAACTCTCAGTGGTAACATGCTTGCACGGCATGTCCAAGACCTCAGGCTCAGTATCCAGCGTGCTCCCCTTCCGTGAAGGTGGAAGTGGTCTGTGTCTGTCTGCGCAGACGTGGTGGCCGGGTCATGCTTTACAACTGCCTTGCTGTGAAGCCACAAGAGCCTTTTGTGTGACTTGAAAACTTAGACCGTCAAGGTCATGTCCCCCAGCTTGTCCCCAGTGTACTAGAAGTCTCCGAGCTCTCCAGGTTTCTGTCTTCGCCCTCTCTGTCACTTTCTCTTCTTTTCCTCTCACGGCTGGCTTGTGAGCAGTCTCCAGCTTCCCGTGGCGCCCCGTGTAGCTTCGCCTTGTGATACCCCCGGTCGGTCCGCACGGTGTTTCCTATCCCACGCGTACCCGTCCGGATACACAGGGACGTGCCTCCCCCCCCCCACCTTGTCACCCTTGACCTTCCCTCCCCTTCTCCCGTCTGCTGTCCGTTACCAGTGGCTCGCCTAGGGCCGTAGCTGTCTCCTCCACATGGTGTGGCTGCCTTCACCTTTCAGACGCTGCAGCGAGACACGTGGGTCCCGGCTCACTGTCTTGCCATGGTTTCCTTTGGCAGTGAGATGTGTGTCAAATTCCAAAACCCCTTGAGTCTCCTGGTGACAGTGTAGTTCTCCCAGCTCCGAGGTTAGGCAAAACCATCAAAGGCAGAAAGGGCATTGTACTGTGCATTCTTCCCGCCAGCCTGGCCCCTGAGCTGCATCAACCCCAAATAACACACGAGACACTATATTAATTATGAAGCTGTTGGCCATTTGCTCTGGTTTCTTAATGGCCTGCTCTGACTTAATTATTAACCCATAATTATTAATATATGTTTTTATGAGGTCTTATCTTACCGATAGCTCCAGACTTGCACCCTCTCCTCCCCGGGATCTCACAGTGACTCTCCACTCTTGACTACATTTCCCAGAATCCTCCTGGACTCCTAGTCCCACCTATCTTGCTTCCCTATTGGCCAACAGTGCTTTATTTATTAGCCAGTCAGACATACACACAGAAGGACCTCCCCATCATCTCATTACATCATTGGTTATGGAGTAGGTGGAAGTCCGTAGGATCACAGGAACTTCGGCTGGGTGGCTTAACGTCCTCTTAGCCCTGCCCCAGTGTAGAAATGTCTATACCACCACCTCAGATAGGTTTCCAAATCAATGTGAGTTTCTACTTTTCTCATGGTACTGACACTGCCTTGGTAAGGTAGAGGGTGGTGTCGTTAGGTGGGAGTGGAGGTCTGTCACATTATTCTTGGCAGAGTCTCGTCCTCCTCGAGAGGGACGGCCTGGGTTCTCGTGTGTCCAACACCTCTCCATACTTCCCCACCCTGAAGTCACAATGTTTAAAGCTCCTGCCTGTCCTCCCCTTTCCTCCATGCACTCTGCCCTTTCTTGCATGGTGTGTGTGTGTGTGTGTGTGTCCCCGTCCGTCCGTCCGTCCGTCCGTCCATCCTGGGATCTGAACTCAGGTCATTACGCCTGTACGGCAGGCACTTATGCACCGAGCCATCTCCCCCAAATCCAGCTCCTTTCACGCATGTTTCTCCGGCTCTCTTTCCCCCTACGGTGGGTACTCGAAGCCAGGAATATTAGAAAGACAGATGGACGGGCAGGCGAGAAACTTTAATCATAAGAGCCAGAGTGCTTGTTTGGGGACACATGTGTAAGCCATCGGGTGGTGGCACCAAGATGTAGTCACTGGGAGGTGCTCGCTTGCCCAGAGGGACATTTCCGCCCTTCCAGAATGCAAGCCGGGGCTTCTTACTAAGGCGAGGGACGTGAGAGACCCGAGAAGCTATTCCTTTACTGACAAGTGACAGGCTCTGTGACCTGTGTGGGAGAGGCAGGTGGATGAGGAGTGCAGAGCCACGTGACAGAGCACCCCAGCCACGCCCTCCTGCTGCTGCCCGGCCCAGGGCAAGCACTCGGCCCTCTGTCCTCGTCGGCTGATGAGAATCTGAGTGAGGACACGAAATGCCCGGAGAGCAGTACCTGAGTCTAGAAAAGGATGGCTAGTTTTGGGTTCCTCTTCTCGCGAGAGCTGGGTGCACGCCGGCCTAGCGTCATGCCAGACGGAAAGGTCAAGTGGACAGTGGCGGCCACTGCACCTTCCCTGTGGGTGGGCACTGGAGCGAAGCCCACAGCCCCCTTTCCCTCCCTGCCTGCCTGTGTTCTGTGTTTCTGTGTCACCCGTGCAGACCTCTGAAGTCTCTGTCTAGCAGTGTCGGCTGTGCGTCCGGGCTGTGCTGGCCCAGTGCCCTCTTCCTCCCTCCGCAGTCCTGCAGCTCCTTCCCAAACTGAGCAAGAAACCACAGATCCCTTTATTCTCACAGGACTCTGGGAGACGCTGCGCGATCTGTGTTTTGTTTTGTTGTTTTGTGTAGGACCTCGAGCACGTCTCTCAGATAAAGGAAAACAAAGAAAGAAATTTCATGGGATCTCATTCTAACGCCCTTCATACTTTTGCATCAGTTAAAACTTTGCTTCTACTAGCATACTCTGCTTTTTTTTCAATTGTAACAACTTGGTTTTACTTTTTTAACAAAATAAAAAATATTAAGATAAAATTAAAAGAAAAATCATCACAAGGATGTTGGACAAGGCAAACCACCAGAAGGAAAAGAGCCCCAAAAGAAGGCACAAGCATCAGAGGCTCACTCGTTCTCACACTCAGGAGTCCTAGAAACACTCTAGACTGAAGCTGTAATGTATACACGGGGACCTGGCATTGCTAGCTTAACTCGTGGCCTTGGGTGAACCAGAGTGAGGTACCATTGGGCATAGACTTAGATGCTGGCAAGTTCTCCATTCTGAATGTTCACAGAGCAATGGTGAGAAACTAGAATAAGGGAGTTATATGAACAGCTATTATATATACCTAGCACCAAGTATAGACAATACTGTTGCTTCCGCATTGTTCATGCTAAAGTCCAATTGTGAGTGAGTATATTCTTGAAAGTCAATTCTTTTTCTTTGCATGTCAGGGGCCAGGCTCAACACCTGTGCTATCAGATACAGAAAGCCTGGAGTCTTCGGTGAAAAGATTAACATCTTGTTTTATTTTAAACAAGCAGAATTGCTACCCCTTCACTTTTAAACTGCTTCCCTAAATTGTGCTGTGCATGATTAATGTGTATGTAATTCCTGTGGTCGCCTCTGCAGTGTGTGAAATTAAGTGTGCTGTGGCTGGCAATTGGATTTCATTTTTAGTTGCCTTTTGTTTTCTTTTGTAGCTTTTCACCTCTGGTTCCTACATCTGGATTGTAGCCATAAGTGGACTTGTAAGTGTAATTTTGTTTTGTTTTTTTTTAACCTCCCTCCCCTGGTTTTCCCTTGTTTATTGAAAGGAAGAAGAAGAAAAAATAGGAAAAAGAATTCAGGGTCAGATTGCGGGTGGCACACACCTGGTCCCCAGCACCCTTTCCCTCATGTCAATATAGCTTGGTGTTCCTTCCCTGGTGACTAAGATAGGGCCGTTACACGGAAAGTCACAGTCAAGACAAAGGAGACCGGTTGGTCTGGGTTTCAGAGTTGCTTTGATGAAGGTGTCAGATGAGGTTTCTCTGTCAGTGTTGTTTTCAAGTGGCATCAGTTGTGGAGTTCATAGCAAGAGGAGGATGACGGAGAATGAGCGGGACAGCTACCCCACGCCGCCCCACTTACTGTGTAAGGGACACACGGTTGCAGAGGGAAGGATGAGGTGGCCACACAGTTGGGGGGGGTCCCCGAGATCATCGCGTCTGTGGCCAGAGAGGGAAGAAGGGGGGGAGCCGGAGGTTTTGGTTCCCCAGTGTGAAGATTTGCTTCTCTCTCCAATGTCCATGGGAATCCACTACACTCCAGGAAACATTTTAAGACACTCACAGCATGTGGCTGACCTAAATGTAACCCTCTAAACTTATGAAAGTAAATTTGTAACTAGCGTGTATAGAAAACAGTTTTGCCCAGGCACCCCAGCACTCGGGAGGCAGAGGCAGAGCGGTCTCTGTGAGTTCGAGGCCAGCCTGGTCTACAGAGCGGGCTCCAGGACAGCCAGGATTTGTTTCACATAGAAACACTATCTTGAAAAACAAAACTAACAAACCGTTTTAATCTCCTTTAAAAAAAATCTAAGAAAATTACAGAATGGGTTTATAGGAATATGCACAGCATCCGAGGGGGAAACAGACAATTACGCCCCCACTGCAGACCTGTCGGTAAGTCACCCCGACCCTTGTCTCCTGCAGGAAGGAACAGGACTTTGGCTAAGGCACTGAGCAGCTTTCTCTTGTCTCTCCGTGGTATGAGTCAGATAGAATGCAGTCATTCATTTCCCTTAGCTGCTGTGCTCCCAGCTAAAACCCTGAGGATCAAAATGAAGGCTTTTCTCTCCTTATTTCATTATTTACCCAGGAAACCCATAGTGCAGCCTTCAGAGCTCCCGAGACAGCCAGGTGGTTCTTGTTTTCCTCCCTCCTTTCCCCTCCCTCCCTCCCTCCCTCCCTCCCTCCCTCCCTCCCTCCCTCCCTCCCTCTCTCTCTCTCTCTCTCTCTCTCTCTGTCTCTCTCCCTCCCTCCTTCCCTCCTCTCCCCCTCTCTCTCCCTCACCCTCTTCCTCCCTCTTTCTTCCCTTCCCCTCCTCTCTCCTCTCTCTCCCTCCCTCCCTCCCTCCTTCTCCCCCTCCCTCCGCCCTTAGAGACTGGGTTTTATTCGATGAACCCAGGTTCACCTTGAGCTCACAGCTGCCCTGCCCCACCGGGATCACAGTTGAGAGCTGTCTGGTGTTCCTGAGACCTCTTGTGGTTTGGGGTCATTCTGGGGTCAGTTTTGCCTGCAGGCCACCGGGCCTCTTCTTCCCAGTGCTGCTCACCACCACTGACAGAGCCACCCTGGCAGTGAGAGGGCATGCGGGGACAGAGTCATCACAGAAGGTCTGCGTTTTCGTCACGTCGGGCTCCTGCGGGCCCATTTACCAACCAGACGTAGCGTTTCTTTCTTTAATAACACGCCATGACACGTTTGTTTAAAATCGCCCCATTTCTTTCGCTGTTCTGTTTTTAGACTTCTGGTGGTAAGTTAAGTGCTTGCTGTCACCTCAGAGAGTTTCATTCTGTGCCATTCGGGCCCTAGAACTGGAGGCCGAGTTTCTCAGCCGTTGGTCACTCTGGTCTCCAGAAGTGTTCATGCCGAAGTCATGTCTCTTTCCAGTCTGCACCTTAGTAGCCCGTAAGCGGAGTTTAACCTTCTGAGGGAATCAGAGGGCACCTGGTAATTTCTCACGTGAAAATCCTTTTCTCAGAGGTGTAAACAGGCCCACAATGTGTTTGACATAGAAATCCCAGATGACTTGGCATAAAGTCTGATAAATCTTCGTATTAATCCTTTTCTCATTTTCCCAGCATGTGGATAGCACCTTGTTTATTTCTAATCTTGAGCTGAGTGTGTATGGTGGAGCTCATACCTGGCATCCGCAAAGCCCCCAGCACTAATTAGCTGGTTGATTAGAGTGAAATGATTGACAGCAGCACTAATCACAGCTAGTTTTCTTTCTCGCCGTGCCATACATGCTGGTGATTAGCGTGCCGTTTTCCTCCTGGCTCTGTCAGGAAAGCCCGTACTCCTCTTACGATACCGTATGTCACGTATAATACGGTGTGAAGATAGGATGATTGGAAAGGGGGTTTCGTTTATAATCAGAGCGTGGCGATGCACCCCTGTAATTGAAGCACTCAAGAGGCAGAGGCAGGAAGGTTGTCGGTTCAAAGCCAGTCTGTATTCCAACCAGAAGAAGAAGAAGAAAAACCCAGCAGCATTCTTTACGAACGTCTCGCTTGTTGGCCGATGAACTGACTATAGGGCCCGCCCGTATCTGAGAGCCACAAAGTCAGTCCATCCAGATGCCTCTTGCTCAATGTGACTTCTCCTTTCCCCTATAGACGAGATAACTTCCTTTTTCTCTTTTGGTTTCAATGCTAACTTTTTAGCATTAAACGTTACAGTTCGCGCTACCAGATTAGAACGTGAAGCGGTGTTACAGAGCCTGTTGTCGAGCTCACCAAAATGGCTTTCCGGGTACTCGCTGTCAAGTGTAGCAATCTGAGGGCCCACAATGTGGGAAGGGAGAGCAGACTCTTACAACACACCCGCACAGACCCACAAACAAACAAACAAATGTAATGGAAGTCATTAGCTGTGTGTGTTAGTGGATACACACACACACACACACAGACCCACAAACAAACAAACAAACAAATAAATAAATGTAATGAAAGTCATTAGCTGTGTGTGTTAGTGGATACACACACATACACACACACAGACAAACAAACAAACAAATAAATAAATGGAATGAAAGTCATTAGCTGTGTGTGTTAGTGGATACACACACACACACAGACCCACAAACAAACAAACAAACAAATAAATAAATGTAATGAAAGTCATTAGCTGTGTGTGTTAGTGGATACACACACACACACAGACAAACAAACAAACAAACAAATAAATGTAATGAAAGTCATTAGCTGTATGTGTTAGTGGATACACACACATACACACACACACAGACCCACAAACAAACAAATAAATAAATGGAATGAAAGTCATTAGCTGTGTGTGTTAGTGGATAGATACACACACACACACACACATACACATTTAAACTTTCACCATCAGAAGCCATCGTGTATCAAAAATACCTTGCTTAGGAAATAACTTTACTTAACTCTGGCAATTATTATGTGACTTGTTTTATTCTGGGGGCAAGTGGGCAGGGCTGGAGAGGAAGCTCAGTGATAAGAGCACTTGTCTAGCATGCCTAAGATCTGGGTTTAAAACCCTAGCACCAGGATGGGGGAAAATTGTGTAAAACAGTGGTTCTCAACCTGTGGGGCTGAGACCATGGTAGGGTTTACATATCAAATGTTTATATTTCATAAAGTAACAAAATTACAGTTATGAAGCATTGACAAGATAATTTTATGGTCGGGGTCACCACAACATGAGCTGTATTAAAGGGTTGCAGCATTAGGAAGGTTGAGAACCACTAGTGTAAAACGTTTTGTTGTTTTCTGTCTTAGAAACAGGAAAGCTGTTCGCGCTCTCCTAGAAAGCTAACTTTGGCTTGAGTTTAGTTTATTGTAAGTTAATCTCTTTTAATTCTAACAGGTTTTTATCTCTTCTTGTGTTGTTTATTCTTGCTTCTGAAAACACAGTTCTAAAATACCCAGCAGTTAATGGAGAGGCTGATCAGCGACCGTGCACCCTGTTTTATCACCTAAGAGCCAGTCTGTGTCTTCGACTGGTCACGGGGATGGATGTGGACCAAATCCTTTTCCTAGGTGGAGGCAAAGGCATTGCTACCTTACCAGTAGCCACAGGACTCTGAGAACAGCTGTCCTGTGGTTTCATCTGGTGACCTGTGGGGGGGGGGGGGGTCCACCCGCTGCCTAGAAGGATGAAGGGTTCAGCTGGGCCTCAGGCTTGCTTTGAGATGGCTCGAGTTTCATATTGTGTGTGTGTGTGTGTGTGTGTGTGTGTGTGTGTGGTGTGTTCATGCTGTGTGCTGACATCTTCCTCCTTCGGTGGTTCTGTTTAAATATGAGTTGCTCTGAAAGGCTGGAGTGGTGGAATTATGAAGTTTGGCTTAGTACACGAGGGGTGTTTCATTTTGTTCCAGTGCTTCAAAGTTGTTAAGAATGGGCACATCTGTGTATTTGTTAGTGTGCTTGAGCGTACTTGTGGGGGTGCACATGTGTGTCCACGCGCAAACTAACATCGGATGTCTCTGTAGGTTGCTAAGGACAACAGTCATCGTATACTGAGTCAGTGTCTCTCAGTTAGCATAGATCTTGCCAGTCCGGCCCCTCTCGCCAGCCGGCTCGCTTGCTCTGGGTGCTGTATCTTAGGCAGGCCTCCGCGCCCACCTAGTGTCTGTGTGGTGGGCGCTGGGACCCAAGCAGCCACTTCTCCCACGGAGCCGTCTCCCCAACTCCAGGTGCCTGGACGTTTTTGGTGAACTACTCTTGCTGGGGATCTCCTGAATTACCTTGGTACAAGACTGAAAAAGGAAAAAAAAAAATTAGGCCAGTGTGTATGTCCATAGCTCTACCCGCCTCACACGCGTTAAATACTTAATTTCCCCCAGAGCAAATGTTGCCTACCTATTGCACATTATTTAAGCTCTTCTTGTGGTTCTGCCGAGAGCCTTGCAGCCATCTCCGTCCCAGAACTTCCCCATTTGCCGCAGTTTCATGAATCATAGCAATGAGTCATAGCCACCAGAACGTACCTTGACTCTCAAA